CAGTAAAGGCACGGGCGTCGTATTTTTATAACGATCGCACCTCCTTAACTGTATACACTCTACGATCATTCACTTTTTTATATTAAATCGTACCTAGTTAGTTCTAAATGATTACAAAGTGTACAGTAATGTCAAGTACGTGCGTCGTTGTTGTTAATAACAATCGTACCTCCTTAGCAGTACACTCTACGATCATTCATTTTGTTTTAATAAATCGTACCTGGTTAGTTCTAAATGATTGCACAGTGTACAGTAATGGCACGGGAGTCGTTGTTTTTTTTATAACAATCGTACCTCCGTAAATGTACATTTTGAGATCATTTAGAACTCAAGTTATATTTAATGCTAAAAGGGTGATACTTAAAGATACTGTGACTCATCCTAAGTTCTAAAAAGGTTGTAATAAATGGTTTCTACAATGAAAGTTTCAGAATAAATACAATAGGTTATTTAAGTTTCATCAAATGGCATAGTTGAAAAACCGAATGTAAAAATGTATATTACAACACTCCTCTTTAACTTTACTTCTTGTTTTTCTGTCTGTCTGTCTGTCTGCCACAAATATTATAATCGAAATTTAACACACTTCTACTTATCCTATCGATCTGAAATTTTGCACACTTGCGTAAAGTTGGAGACAATGCATGAATCGAATGTCAAAATAAATAATTTTACAAAATAATTTTTTAGTATTAAAAATTGAAAAAATAATTTTGTCAGCTACAAATCTTATAACTGATATTTGACTCACTTTTACCTGTCTAATTGATCTGAAATTTTGCATACTTGTGTGAAGTCGGTGGCAATGCATGAATCAATTGATAGAATAAATAATTTTGAAAAAAATTATATATTAAAAAAATTGAAATATTAATTTTTAATATTCGAAAATAAAATGAGAATTTCATTGTACATCTTCAACACTGGAGACAATGGATTCTTTAGAAGTGTTGTCTTTAAAAAGTAATTTTTAAAGGTATATTTTTTTCAAGTTATTCTCGCCTTCAAAATGAAGATTTATTAGCTGATACTTCGTGGATATGAGGCAATTTATTTATCGATTAAATTGATTGTTATCTTTTTACAATTACTTCTGTAATTGTTATCCGTATGCTTTTTCTTAATTTGTACATGAATTTTCACATCGTGGTTATACCTATAAGTCAATATTAAATTATTTACGTTATAGATCTCATAACTATTATCCGTAATATTATTATCGTTATAGTTCTTATTACTATTATCCGCAATATTATTATCGTTATAGTTCTTATTACTACCATCCGCAACATCATTATAGTTTTAGTTCCTATAACTATTAACCGCAATATTATTATCGTTTATAGTTCTTATTACTATTAACCGCAATATTATTATCGTTATAGTTCTTATTAATATTACCCGCTATATTATTATCGCTATTGTTCCTATTACTATCATCTGCAATATTATTATCGTTATAGTTCTTATTACTATCATCTGCAATATAATTTTAACGACTGCCATGCGTTGCTGTGGCATGATTTGACTGGCTTTTGATTCATGCCGAAACAAAAATAAATGTAAATAGATCATAAAAAAAGTTGGTAAATGCTTAAGATAAGTTGAGGATCACTGCTTGGAATACTCATTATGGACTCTCGATTAAATATTTTAATAAATCTTAGAGTGAATGTTAAGATGATTCAAAAAATGAAAGTTGAACATTCAACAATTTAAATGCTTATTAAACTTGCAATATTAATTTTGCATAATTAATAACATATTCATTAAATGTTAATCATATACTAATCTATTACCTCAACCCATGATTCATAGGCGGCGTCCGGCACCCAGTTAAATGGATGGATCAAATTGTCCAAATAATGGCCAATTTTCTGCACGTAGCACTGATACACCCTTTTTTTTTGCTCGGCAAATAGGGTTAGGATGACCCACATGAGGGAAAAAGTGCATCACTATTTGACTATGTGCCACTGATTTTTTTGAGTGTATAGCAGAAATCTGCGCCAAACTGTAGAGTCCCGAGGCCGAGATAAGGCTAGATATGGCAGACATTTAATGATGTGTGGAGTTAAGGCTTATCTCGCGCTTATCTCGCGCAGTGTTGGTGCAAACTTTGAAATGAGCGAATGCCACGACAGTGTTGGTTCGTGCAAAGAAGGAGATATCGCTTATCAGCCGCTTATCTCCTAACGAGAGTCCCGCCAAAATGGCCGATATGGACACTGATAACAACACGTGAACTGCCGCCGCGGCCTCGCTTACGACTCTTCACGCACCGAGAAAAACATTTCCGCAAAAAATGTGAATTTAAAAATACAGATAATTTGAATAAAAAATTTTATAAATAATTTCAATTATTTTTGTACATTAAACTTCGAATATTGAATTGATTAAAAATTATAGAAATCGCTGAAAATTTTTACGGCTGGATTCAACTCGAGAAACCAGTTTCAATGCCTAAGAAAAAATTTTTTTTTCCTTATCTTAAACAAAATACGAGTACCTCAATCTTTGATTCATTAATATCTACGCACATATTCATAATTAATCATTATTATTATTTTTAAATTTCTTATTTCAAATCCTAAACAAATTTTATTCTCTCTTCGTCCTCGGCAGCAAGATAAGGAGGTGGGCCGTGCGGGGTATATGGCGCACCATCAGCTGACACTGCGCCGCTGATATGGCGCACCATCGGCTGACACTGTGCCGCTGATATGGCGCACCATCAGCTGACACAGCGCCGCTGATATGGCGCACCATCAGCTGACACAGCGCCGCTGATATGGCGCACCATCAGCTGACACAGCGCCGCTGATATGGCCGCTTTTTACAAATTTACTAAATTTATTGGCTATTTGCTGATTTTTTTTCTCGCTTGCGAATTTCATATATATGCCAGAGCTACTTTGTACCATTTGGCTACACTTTGGTATTGAACCCCAGCAGTTAAAATTCTCAAGAAGGTTGATGCAGCTGTGGTCGGCCACTTGAAGGCGTACAAAGACTTTTTCACAAGCTCGCATTTTTGGAGCCGTAATATTATAACTTTATATAGAGTACCTGTAGCGGCTTAAGTACCTGTAGCGGCTTAAGTACCCGTAGCGGCTTAATTATTGTAGCGGCTTAAGTACCTGTAGCGGCTTAAGTACATGAAGCGGCTTAAGTACTTGTAGCGGCTTAATTAAGTAATTTAGCGGTTTAATTAAATACATGTAACGCCCAAAGTAAGCGTACCGACCTTAGTAAACGCAGCGGCGATTTCTCGTCTGTGATTGGTGGGTTGAGCTTGAAAAGCCGTCAGTTATTGACTGACAGAATTACGAAATCGTAACTATTTCTGATGGTACGGCCTATATGGGCTGTACAGCGTTGGAGAGCTATGACCGAATCCCGTTACGTGTTTGTCATTCAAATCCTTGCAGGTTCGTCACGATTTTCCTTGCGATAACGATTGTTTGTGGGCCCTTGTCATATTTTCTATAGCTTGCTTGTCATCGATGGACAGATCACTCGCGTCAGTCAAGCAATCACGATTGTTTATTGGGCTTTAGCTATTCATTTGTCGAGGTCAATGTCACTGGACGAGGAATCGAAAGGGAAATCTTAGAGTCGGAGTTCTGATTTCTTTTTTTCTCCGACCTCAGTTATTCTTCACATCCTGATTTATTTCTCTGTCCCGGTAGGAACAAGATGCAAGATGATACGACACGTGGATATATAATAATCAGTGAATGGTCAGCCTAAAATTCAGGCAGGAATAACGTTGTGACCATTAATAATCGGGCTTTGCCTTTAACGGTTGTCATGCAGAGCTTGAGTGACGTAGTCGCGCTCACGTCACTTATGTTATGCGTGTTGTAACGATCACAACGATGGCCTGGAAGGTGTCTATGCATCTTTATTTTGTCCTTACGACAGCATATTGAAGTATCTATGGTGTCCAATCGATTGTATAATTCGTACAAAAAATCTCAAATCTCTAGTTTATTTTATTGAAATTCACTTGAACTCCATTAAAAGAATTCTGTGTCACATGAAATGATGCTGCTAAAATATGGCGTTAGCTGCGTTCTGAAATTAATGAAGTGCGTATAAATAACGTTGCTGGAACAGCCTGGTAATGTTTGTTGGGAAAGTGAAACTAAATTTATACTGACACCTCACTGTAATAAAAATGTATCATGCTCGGAAATGTGAAAGTTATTCCTATGGCGCATACTATATCTTCATCCCCACTTACATTGAATAATCGATAGTACAGTTTAACACGCAATGTAATGACCATCACGACGGACTTTAGTGTACCTAATAAAAAACTGACACGCGCACACTTACAAGAATAAAAGTACAGCTTAAAAACACTTTAGTTTCAACACCACAAACTTCACTTTTCATATATATTCTTATACTTTACAGCCACTCACATGTAGCTAAGCGGTACACATTTTACGCAGCACACTTTAGTGTCGTAAAACACATCATTTAGGTCCTTAGTGTCACCAGTACGTATCATCGTAAAGATAGCGGGTATCTCTTGCCCGATTCCTTCTATCCTATACCCAGGGCCACGAGACGAGCCAGGATATTCCCCTTATCCTACGCAGGATAACTCTAAACACTTGGGGATTCTCACTATCGCGCGTCTATCATTGAACATCACCATTGAATTTCAGGAGATTCGTTATACTCATGAATCGCTGAGGCATGAGTCATGCATATTTGTACTCAGGCTTCTCTGTTTTGCAGTTGGTGTCGTAAAAGTTATTTATAATGAATGCTTTATTTTAATTTTAGTTAAACATTCACGCTCAGAGTAAGTATAGAACAAATATTAGTTTATTTAATATATTGCTAATAAACACAACCGCTTTTTGAAGACTGCAGTTTATTGTCCAAGAAATTACAGATCAAGTCATCAAAAAATATATACTGAATAACTGAACATGGATGTTCACCCTCACGAGGACACTCACCCTCACAAGAAGACTCACCCTCACGAGGAGACTCTCCCTCACGAGGAGACTCACCCTCACGAGGAGACTCACCCTCACGAGGAGACTCTCCCTCACGAGGAGACTCTCCCTCACGGGGAGACTCACCCTCACGAGGAGACTCTCCCTCACGAGGAGACTCTCCCTCACGAGGAGACGACTCTCCCTCACGAGGAGACTCACCCTCACGAGGAGACTCTCCCTCACGAGGAGACTCTCCCTCACGAGGAGACTCACCCTCACGGGGAGACTCTCCCTCACGAGGAGACTCACCCTCACGGGGAGACTCACCCTCACGAGAGGACTCGCCCTCACAAGCTTCCATTCACCCATGTTATCACATGATTATTTAATCCGTTAATCAATAAATTCAGTTTTATTTTTATCAATAAATCCAGCCGCTAATTTTTCCGTTCATTCAGCGTCCCACAGTTCATCAAATTTCTTTCCCTATAATAATTTTTCCTATATTTCTTGAGTGCATCATTACTCTAATTGCTGTGACAATTTCAGCAGGTGATTTAATAATATTTTTCTAATAATAAAAATTGATTGTGATGACTAATATTAGAGATGTCACCATCCCGTCATTATCAGTATCTCAGTTATGATAAGAATTCATTGTGTGGCTTATGAGGCGTTGAAATTAAGACTATATAATTAATTTACAATTAACTCTATACAATGGGATGCACTAATTATTCGTTAGCAAGATGAACGTTGTTATTGCTCCGGTCGGATTGCCCGATAACGAGCCTATCCAACCGGATCTACACCGAGAAAACTAACGCCGGATTTGATAAGGCTTGGAATGTCACATGCATAATTATAATAATGCGAGATAATAAAAATAACATGACTTGCAGTAAAGACTCAGAAAAATTTCTAGTTCACATTTGCAATCAACTGAACAGTAAATTGGAGTTTAGAAAGGATGTGTTAAATAAACTATGCAGTGAAGAAACAGAAGATTACTGTACTCAATTTACTGTATTACCTCCTGACTATGATAATTTGTGTGGGAAATTGTCAACACCTATTGTTCGATGTTACTTATAGATCGTCTCGAAATCAAACATCATCATAAAGCAATATGATATTATGTATTTAATCTCACGATATCATTTTGGGGAATTATAATAAACATGTTCATTGATTCATCCAACTGAAGAAATGGTACATAAATTATAAAACTACTAATGAGGATGATGTAAAAAATATTTTATTGCATTATCATTAATCTTCATCACAATGAAACGACCTTAACGTTAATCCATTTCATTGCGTAAACAAAAATAACGTGATAGCGTTCTAGAGTTAAACTTGCAGTCGAGATTGGCACGGCTGCTGCCACGTCACAAGGCCTTCATCGCGACGTTTGGTACGTGTATCAAGCTACCAGCAATTATCCTCATAGCAATCAGACTCAACCAAAGTGAATTCGTGGTCATAAATTGTCAGTTTGTGATCTGCTACCGTCTGACTTGAGCGATTTCCTGTCTCGTGGCCGGGAGAGCGGGCACCTTGAGACACGGTGACACGTCTCTTTTTTTATAGTATAGAAGCACTGCATAGCCTTTGAAGTTAGCTTACAGGAGTCCAATGGCGGCAGATGTAGCGATGTTAATGCTTCCCTACACACTTTTAATGCTCTCCGGACAGAAGCTTTTTGAAGACTCGAAGCACGGCTGAGATGCGTATCTGGCCTCAGCTGAAAGTCGTATAAGAATGTGTAAGAATGGGTTGCATCCATGATTTTTACATACGCTATCAAGAAGGATGCCTTCCTTCCCATTTAGACGATCAACGAATCTCATGAAGATTAAGTTTATTTATTACATTTTCATAAGTTATCTTACTTTTTAGATTATCACAAATTAATTAGGTTAATCTTATAAAGGTGCGAGTTGACTTGTCTATAATGGCTTCGTAGATCACAATTTTAAACTAATTACGTTTGTGCGCGCCACCATTTAGTGACACTAATGTTGGTATCTGAAAGATTCAAGATTTATTACCGTGTTTTCCTCGCTTTCCAACGCCTTCTCTACTGAATAAAATAAGAAGCAAGCTTACGATAAGAAATGCCGATTGCGAGGCGGCGCTGCGCGGCTCAAAGACGGCCGTAAATCTCAAAGCCGTCATTGCGACTTCTATCAGTTAGTGCTGACTAAATAAACCCGGCTTCAGAATGGCTTCGACTCTTGAAAAGTGCCACCAAAATACCACTGCAGCTCCCTGATAACGGGCGACGTTTTTATGCCCTTGGGCATGGGCTACGATTGAATGGGTTTTCTGCAATGGTTTCTCTGTGTATTGTTTGTGTGTTCCATCTACAGTTAAAACCCAATAATAGGTTATTAATATCATAAAAATTATTTAGGGGGATCGTTTAATCGTTATTGAAGCTCATGACAGTTCAACCACTGTATGCTCTTATATTTTGTTGTTGGCTTATGCTTCAAATTTAATTTTAAATCTAGATGATCACCACCACGCATCGCTTTGTGATAGAAACTTGTATACTGGCCATTACTCTGCTCTTGAATCCTGTACTGTTCGTCTATACGTGTTCGTTTGATAAGTTAACTTTTAATAAAGGATCTGTTATTGATGATTGATGAAGGAAGTCAAAGAATTATGTAAGCCAAACAGATAATTTTAACCTTCAACTGTATGTATTTAGGCTGCCCATTCCATTTTCTCCTGATAATATTAATTTTAATGAAGATGTATGCATCATTAAATTTTGAAGACATTCATCAATTGTTTTAGAAAATAATCCATATAAAGATCGGCCTAAACAGCCTTATTCATTGCCGCAAGAATTATTTTTTATTAAATTTCATAAGGAAAATATAGTGCAAAATGTTACCCGCCTTAGAATTAGATTGAGAAATCTTCCAGCTTTGACATCAATCCGACCATAAAACTTTATCATGAAAGACCTATAAAACTTGTACCTATATTACATGAATAAAATACATTACATTTCATCATGAAGTTGAATTGATGACTTCCCATGAAGTTCACGGGAAGTCTTGATTGCAGATCAAAAATCCGATAAAAATTTCACGGTTGTTTGCGTTGGTTGCGGGCGAAGTCTAAAAGCCGATGGTGTCGGCAGCATCAAAAATGCCGCTCGGTGCCACTCATGAGCCATATCAGCTCGCCTACCTTCACTGTTCTCAGGTGATGAACGATTGCCATCTCTTTGAAGCCACGTTCAAGGCTCCGAGTTTCATCGGCAGCTGCTTCCGAGCGCACTTATAGACGACGCGTTGAGATTTCTAGTTTATAGACGACTTGTACAGTGTCGACATGTATAGACGACTTGTACCATATGACTGCCTGTATAGACGACTTGTACAGTGTCGACATGTATAGACGACTTGTACAGTGTCGGCATGTATAGACGACTTGTACAATGTCGGCATGTATAGACGACTTGTACAGTGTCGGCATGTATAAACGACTTGTACCGCGTCGGCATGTATGGACGACTTGTGCTGTACGTGTCTGCTAGTATAGACGACTTGTACAGTGTCGACATGTATAGACGACTTGTACCATGTCTGCGTGTATAGACGACCTGTACCGTGTCTGCCTATATAGACGTCTTGTACCGTGTCGGCTTGTATAGACGACTTGTACTGTACGTGTCTGCCAGTATAGACAACTTATACCATGTCTGCCTGTATGAACGACTGGTACCATGTCAGCCTGTATAGACGACTTGTACCGTGTCTGCCTGTATAAATGACTTGCACCGTCTCTGCCTGTATAAATGACTTGCCCCGTGTCTGCCTGTATAAATGACTTGCACCGTGTCTGCCTGTATAAATGACTTGCACCGTGTCTGCCTGTATAAATGACTTACACCGTGTCAGCCTGTATAAATGACTTGCACCGTGTCTGCCTGTATAAATGACTTGCACCGTGTCTGCCTGTATAAATGACTTGCACCGTGTCTGCCTGCATAAATGACTTGCACCGTGTCTGCCTGTATAAATGACTTACACCGTGTCAGCCTGTATAAATGACTTGCACCGTGTCTGCCTGTATAAATGACTTGCACCATGTCTCCCTGTATAGACGACCTGTACCGTGTCAGCCTGTATAGATGACATGCAAGAGTGATTCAGCGACCTGATCGTCCAGCTTACGAGTGAATATAGACAGCATTGACGAATATGTTAACGTTCGGACTACTTGCTCCTGCTTACAGAACCTAATAGAATCTGCTCATGAATGTCAGAAGGCATGTATTAACATATAACAAGTATACAAATGAAAGCTCATATCCGACATGTAAGACTCCATAAGCAAAATGTACGAGTGATAATATTCATGAATTCAAGGTAAATGAATAATTTTTTATTTGGATCTCATATTAACTTTTATGCATGGATGTTACTGATAATCTTGTAAATATAAATTTGAGGCAATAAAAAAGTCAATTTATGTGTTTCACAATATATCGTGGAATCTATGTTGAAAAACTTAAGTGTATATTTTAAAGTATCAGATTTTCCATTACCTCAAGTGAATGTCAAATCCTATTCTAAGTAAAAAATGAGCAGAATAAGTAATTAATGTTTATTAGAGCTCATAATTATCTCTCACACGACTCGCTCTACCACTCAAGTTTCCATAAGTGGGAATAGTTCTTACGACGCTCAATCTCTTAGCCTTGGGAACAATTAGTTTGCATCATACTGATGTGCATCATACTGATGTGCATCATCCTGGCTAGATGACTGGAGCGATGTGCTATCGAATATTACACATCACGGGGCGATCAAATAACTTTTGCGGCACACAATGATAAAAAAAACTTTGCCTAAATAATTTATTCAAGATCTCAACATTTTCTCCAGAAAATGACATTTTTTACGACCTGAAGGAGGGGAGTATAATTGATACAGTTTCACTTCTCGCTTCTACGAACAAGAATGACACTTCTGCAATAGAAAAATGTGTAAATTTAATTCTAATATTTAGATAATTACAGTCTCTTCTGAAAACTCTATCTATGGACTAAGGATATTGAAATCATTGAGTTACTCCATTTATATAGTTACATTCAGTAACATTTCCTCAGCCTATCATACTGCCTGCAAACTCTGAGCGGCTGCGCCTCAACGTATGCGTCCTAGAGAACTAATTACAGATACGCTCTTCTCAAGATAAAATCAGCCTGGAGTTTAAAGCTTGTGTAGGTTGAATTTTTTGAATGATTTTTGAGATAGTGCGATGCCATTGTCCAGCCCTACTGGTTAAAAGCGTACGCGTATCTCCTCGTTGCATATGCTCGTCTGTAGC